ATACTATACTATACTATACTATACTATACTATACTATACTATACTATACTATACTATACTATACTATACTATACTATACTATACTATATTATATAATACCTTATTGAATTCTGATCGTTTAATTGGCTGTTTATCGTCACGTGATATTGAATAGAAAATTCCATTTCCCAAGAGTGCAATGGAATGCGTTCCATTGCACTCTTGCGAGTGCAATTGCACTATACGTTTTGTTCCATTGCACTCTTTGTGTTTTCGATAAATCGCATCCGTGAAAATGCTTCTCGTACGGTGATCGCAGTTTATTTTAACCCGATATTCGAAACTCAGTAAATGGGATTTAATGCAAATACGACTCGTCAAAATGGCGAAAGCTTACAGTAAACCTTTTAATATTAGTCTATTTAGGTGAAAAGATGGAATGTTCCATTTAACTCGGCTGTCGCCTCGTTGAATGGAACATTCCATCTTTCACCTCATGAAAATATTCTTACCATTGCACTCATAAACATTCATTATTTGTATACTATACTATACTATACTATACTATACTATACTATACTATACTATACTATACTATACTATACTATACTATACTATACTATACTATACTATACTATACTATACTATACTATACTATACTATACTATACTATATACTATACTATACTATATACTATACTATACTATATACTATACTATACTATATACTAAGCCAAAACTATGCAGAACATCAATATCTATAACATGAATAATTATTGTTCGAAATGATGTTATTATCATTACCCCCTCCGTAATTCTTCTTCCAAATTCGTAAACAAAAACACCACAGTCATTCCCATTCGTTTGTCGTGCGACCTATACCTGTACGTGATTGGAAACAATTTTTTAGTCATGTTTCACAATACTTAAGAGTTAAGACACACAAAATTAAACATATCGTCACCGACACCGGTTTATATGATTTTTTACATACATTAGCGTATACTGGTGCTGAAATTGGAGGGATCTCTTCCGGCCATAGTTCTTCTTCTCTCACATGCTTAAAATATCTAAAATATTGAGAGAAAAGAATCCACAAATCATGGACATTGGTCGTTGAAAAAAGATGATGACATGGCCTGGCTTTATAATAAATTTACACTTATTGTCAGTACACAATAATATACCTGTATATATAGAAACTAAAATGGGAGATAACTGTTTTTACCTTAGTATGTTCAAAGCGACGATTTCGTTTCGCCCAATCAAGCTACATAAGACGTTGAGATTGCCACTTGCAATCTCATAAACGATAAGCCACCAGTGTACCCTGGTAAAAAGTCAAATTCAAAAGTTGTACTCTTGATGTAGCACGTATGACGTCATAAATTAAGTAGCACACTGTGCATAAATGTAAATGTCATTCGAATACGGTTTAGTATTTTGATTATGAGAACAATTTCAATTAAAAATGAGCAATATTTATCCTTACATATCACATATTGGCACGAGGACGTATTTAAGTTTGTGCATGTTTGGTGGTGTAAACGCTTTCACTCCAGCAATGTTGCACCCAGAGAGATCAAGAGGTCGATTACTCCTAAATGTTGTAAATAAGAATCAGTTCATGCTTATGGTAATTTAGTTTGGTAAAGGTATTCTTGCAATTGTGCTTTTCGTTTGCATATAATATCACAGTGTCTTTCCGCACTGCAAATCCTTTATTATTATTATTTATTATTTTCCCCTATGTACAGATTTTAATAATTACAAAACAACTTTCTTCTAATGATATTGGGCTAGGGACCTACTAGAAACCTTTACAGGCTTTTTGGTTTAGGCCCCTAGTTGTAGTTGTGGTTCATAATGAGGTTAATTAATATATTTACAGTTAAAGATAATGAAAAAATCAATTTTTAGAATATACGCTATTTACAAAGGAAGGATGATAAAGCAGGAGTACTACAATAAAAGATTTATGTTAAAATATCAATAAAATATGAAGACCGTATAATTTTATACATGATTCAGTAAAAAATACTGTTTCATTTCTTTCTTGAAGACATTATAGGAGTTTGTGCCTTTAAATTTTGGTTCTAATGAATTCCAAATATCAATTCCTTTATTAGATAGACTGTGTTTTACATAGTTTGTTCTCTTATAACACTTATAGAGTTTTGACGCATTTCTCGTGTTGTATTGATGGATCTGATTATTTGTTACAAAATAATGTTCAAAAACTTCTGGTAGATTCTTAAGATGGTGGTAACGAAACATGAACATGGCAGTTAAATAATCATTTATTTTGAAAATATCTAGGATGCCTAATTCTTTGAAAATAGGCTCAGTATGTTCCAAATACGATTTAAATGTCATCAGTCTTTTCAAGTACATACTTATATTTCGTTGGCATTTGTCGTTGAAGAAGATGCAACAGTAAACCGCAATGAAAATATACCAAATTAAAGATACACTTACAGAGCTCCCTTTATTGACAGTCTCTGCTGAAAGTAGCTTGTGAAGGCGAAGTTCAGCAGCTTTCCCTCCTTTCTGTCCGCCGATTTGCAGTAATATCTGTATAATAAATAAGTTTTCAAAAATGATGCGTTCCTAAATAAAGCAGTACCACCCGACGCGCATCATGTTATATGCGCATGGATTAACTTGAAAACGTTTATGTTTTGATGCATGAATTGTTAATATATGAAGCTTATGTACATTTTTAATATACTTCGTACAATTTGAGAGCAGAATGCCGATACGATCATTTCTCACTAGTGACCAAAACCGTATAGCCAATAAAAACGCTTTTACGCTTCGTTTCGTCGTGAAATACAATTTTTATTTCATCCTAGCTACAGCACATAAACTCTATAGATAATAAAGAATTTTATGCCGAAAACCGGATGAACATGCAGCGAGTGGCACTGCTTCTGTAAGAATATCTTAATTAAGATAAAATAGTGAGTTCTCTCCATTCCACGTCCTCCTAAAAACAGAAATGCCATGTTTTATGTTTATACACACATCACAAGGCACTGAATATTAACGTTACTGATGTATATACTATGTACGATATATGATATCCAGCTATTTCAATTAAGGTTGTCAGCAGCAATAGTCAAATGTACTATACAATATGTTATAAAATAGTATACTTATTAGATTATCATGGCTGACACGACTTATAGTCGTGTATGGCGAGTATACTTATTAGATTATCATGGCTGACACGACTTATAGTCGTGTATGGCGTATGCTCTTGATTTTATTGATGTTTGAAGCTATTTTTAACGAGTTATCTTATGCGAAGCTCTATAACGATAACAGTAAAGTGCGATCGAATGGTTTGGTGATGAATGTGCATTTAAACAACGAAATTAGACTGAAGTCATTCGCCTGGAGGCAAACGTGCAAGAAAGTCAAAGTCAAATATATGGGCTCAGCATTTACATCAGGGAAGCAATTGCTTCGTCTCACGAATTTTGCTTTGGCTGCGCTTATTTTACAACGCTCTGGCGATGTTGCTTTATTACTGAATCCTGGCCCCATATCTACTCAGTTGCCAAAGAAACACCTTCACCTTGGTCAAGTAAACGTTAATGGTCTTAGGAACAAGACAATGGAGATTAAAGATTTGTTGAACGACACTGGAATTCATCTCCTCGCTCTCACTGAAACGAAGTTGGACAACCTAATTCTTGACGGTTCTGTGGCTATTGAGGGCTATCAGTTTTTAAAAAGGAATAGAAATGGACATGGGGGAGGAATTGGCTTATATTCTAAAGACTGTTTAGTCTGTAAAGTAAGGAATGACCTATGCTCGCCGTATATTGAAGATCTCTGGGTTGAAATTTGCAGACCAAAAGCGCCCAAGATGTTGTTAGGAATATTTTACTGCCCCCCAAGCGCTAATAAAGACTATATGACTCATGTGTATGACTCTTGGGATAGGGCCACGGACGAAAATTATGAAACATACGTATTAGGTGATTTTAACAAAAATTTGTTTAACCAGGAAGACTCAGCGCTCTTAAGATCGTACGCTGACATTTGTGGTCTAACTCAAACTGTATCCGAAGCGACAAGAACAGTAAATACTGCTCGTTCTACAACAACAACATGCCTTGATCTTATATTCACCAATAATCCTGAACAAAATATGTCTCATTGTAAAGTTATTTCTGTAGGTTTTACCGATCACGATCTTACGGTATTGTCGATAAAGTCTAAAATTCCCAAAGGACCTTCGAAAGTGGTTTACAAACGCAGTTATAAGCATTTTTCTGCAGAGAAATTTATTAATGACTTGAAACTTATTCCGTTCTGGTTGGTTGAATCGTCGGATGACCCTAATGAGGCACTTGATACATTTCTTAATCTGTTCAGAGATATTGCGGACATTCATGCCCCTATTAGGAAATATACAGTTAAATCAAAGCCACCTCCTTGGATAACTCAAAATATTCGCGACTTAATGTTGATGAGAGATGCAGCAAAACGTGAGGCGAAGGTCTCTGGTTTTCCTTCTGACTGGGCGGTTTATAGGAAATTGAGAAACCATGTCGTTAAGGTCAACAGAGAAAGCAAAAGAGCATGTTTTCTTGAAGCTATTAATAATACCAAAAAAGATCCAAAGTCAATGTGGAAAACAATAAACAATCTGTTAGGACGCTCAAATTGTCCAATACCAACTTATGCAGAGAGTAATGGTGAAATTTACACAAAACCTAAAGATATTGCCAATCATTTCGCAAAGTTCTTTAATGAAAAAATAAGGAAATATAGATTTGAGATGTCCAACCCGATAGATACGGAGTATGTAACTAAATCAATTACCGAAATAATGACTGGAAAAAACTGTCGGTTTGAGTTCTCATCTTTAAGTCTTTTAGAAGTTCACAGCTGCCTTGCTAAGCTTCCAGATACTAAAGTGACAGGCGTAGACGGCATTGATAATTTTTTACTTAGAATTGCGTCGAATATCATAGCGGAACCTATTAGATACATTTTTAACTGTTCATATGCGAAGTCAATATTTCCTGATCAATGGAAAGTAGCTAAACTACACCCGATTCCCAAAGATAAGAAACAGCCTTTTGAAGATATAAATAGTCGACCCATCAGTCTTCTAAATGTATTAAGTAAACTGCACGAAAAATTTGCGCATAAACAAATCTGTCACTATGTCTCCGAACATAACTTAATGCTCAAGAATCAACATGCATATAGAATCAATCATAGCACTGAATCTGCACTTTTACATCTGACTGACAGTTGCCTTGACAACATGGAGAATGGTATGCTTACTGGTGCTGCTTTGTTGGATTTTTGGTATGCTTACTGGTGCTGCTTTGTTGGACTTTTCAGCTGCTTTCGACCTGATTGATCATAATTTCTGCTTCTGAAATTGAAATGTTATAACTTTTCAGATAATGCGATTAACTGGATCAAGTCGTATTTAAGTGGGAGAACCTCAACCGTATATATCAATGGTGCTTTTTCTAATCCGATTGAGATGACTTGTGGGGTGCCACAGGGTAGTTGTCTTGGCCCACTGCTCTTCAGTTTGTTTGTTAATGATTTACCAACAGTCTTAACTACAGCTGATATCACCTTGTACGCCGATGATAGCACTCCGTTCCAATCTGGACATAACGCCAGACTCATATCAGATAAACTTCAACTTGACTTATCTAAAGTTGAATTATGGGTCTCGAAGAATCGTCTTGTTCTTAATGCTGATAAAACAAATAGTATCCTTATTGGAAGTCGGCAGAAGATTAAATCAGCTCCATCGCTTAACTTATCCATTAAAGATAAAATCATTGAACAACGTCCATGTGTAAAACTCCTTGGCGTCCAGGTTGACGAGAACTTAAGTTGGAAGCAGCATTGTGAAGATCTACTTAAAGATTGTTCCAAAGCTCTTGGCTTACTGTTCAAGTTCAGCAGATATATTCCATCAAAAGTTTTAAAGATTATCGCTGAGGCACTCATACTGTCAAAATTGAACTATTGTTGTACGGTTTGGGGATCTGCGCAAAATCAAGAGTCGATTAATAATTTACAAAAACTTCAGAACAAGGCCGCCAGATTGATCCTAGGATATAAGGTTGATGAAATATCTAGGGAAAATCTCCATGATGAAATAGGTTGGTTAACAGTGAGACAACTAGGATTCATGTCAGAACCTTAATGGCATTGCATAATGTACTTTATTCTGGTGAACCAAATGCAATTTACGTGAATTTTAAACCATTTGAAATTACTCATGAACACAATACTAGATTTTCGTCGAGGTGTCGAAGTGATAATATGTTGTTAGAGAAACCTATGTTAAAGAAGAAAACCTTTTTAGCTCGGGCTTTTAGGACCAGAGCTATCCGTCTATGGAACAATTTAGACTATACTATAAAAATCATATCTTCCAAATCCATGTTTAAGTCTGCTGTTCTTAAACAGCTAGACTGGTTCATATAATTATTATTAACTATTTGAACTTTTAACGTATTTTAGTAATTTTTACGAATACCTAGATTTATAGATTTTTATCTTGTAGGGTAATCCTATATTTAAGACCTCGTGTAAACTAGCGTTAGCTAACAGAGGTTCTTTTTTAAATACAAATACAAATAAATACAAGATGATTACAAAATAATATACTGTATAGTAAAATTAGTATCATATTAGCTATTTCAATTAAGCTATTTCCATTAAGCTATTTTAATCAATGTTGCATGTCCCACGAGGCTATACCGAAGCGTTAAACACTTAAACAAACTTAAACATATTACAAACTATGTTTATTCCAATATTTATTTCGTGCTCATATTGTTGTAGATTTGACTATTGTCGCTGACAATCTTCATTGAAATAGCTATATTTATCATTCATACGCACTTGTAGCTTTGCTTTCTTTTTGCATGGTGACGTGTTGGCCGTTTCTCCATTTTGGTCTCCAACAAAACGTACACCGAGTCGTCCTTAATCGTTTGGCCAACCGTATGGTCAACAATACCAATTCCCTCCATCACCTGACAGATACAAGGCGAATAGATTTGAAACACCTCGTGCTTCGGACGCCAAACCTCCAAAGAGGCACGAAGTGCTCCTGCAACACACATAAAGTGTGTATCTGTCAGGTAAAAGTCCAGAGAATGAAAAAGTTATTGTGTGTTTGAAAGTGACTCTTCAAGAAAGTCTTTCGCGGGGGATGCTCGTGTAGGTAGCGATGTGAGAATAGCTAGTTCAGCTACCTGAAAAATAGGAAAACAGTTTGTTCGACGTTTGAACGAAGGCCCTTTGTCAAGAAGTTAGTGAACAAATGCCCTTCGCTCAAAACGTGGAAGAAATTGTTTTCTTATTAATAAGGTAGTTGGATAACCTACACTTCGCAACTACTCTTCATGAGAGTCACTTTCAAACATACAGTTTCTTACATATTCCTCTACGAAGAGCATCATTACCTTCAGTGTTGAAGTTTTTCAGGCCTTTCATAATATCTTCCCCTGATACCGTTGTGTTTGTTTGTCTTGAGCGCTGTAATAATCCATTGGATTAAAATAATTATACAAGACTATTGCAATAAGTGGTTTGTGATTGAGATCATATGATATATAAAACATTTCTAACCTCAGACGCCAAATGACACTGGTGTTCAATACCGTAAAGAAACGCATCTAGTGCCAATCTATCTGGATCGATGCTGAGTGCTTCGAATAAATTTCCTTCTCGACTCGCCACATAATCGAGTGGTAATCCCATCGCTTCCAAGTCACGTGATCTATAGAAAGTAATTTAATTTATATCTAACGAGTTAACAAAAATTTATCAGTGATTGGATGTATTATAGATATCGATTTCCCATTCCTGCTGGTATAATTCATTTAAATAAGAATGTAAATTATATACCTTAATGCGTGAGTTGCAGATTGTTCATGTCTTTTGACCGATTGCAACAACTCGTAAGCGATTTCGATAAACTTGTCGCAGCAATTTTCGTCGTTAATTGTACTAATGATGCAACCAATTTCATTCTAAACAAGAAGTTTTTTATAAACATCTAAGATAAATTAATGCATGCGTTACCTGTTAGGCAGTTTGAACGTTTTTATTGCGTGCCTGTTCACAATGTCTTAGTGACTTAGTTAAAATAACATATTGTTTTCATCACCTTTTCATACATGTCCACAAACAATTCAATACCCGTCAATTTCTGAAATCAGTGAAAAAAAAACTATTGAAAGATTCAGGATCAATAATTCCTAAAATAATATCTGTTTAGAGAAAGTGAACGCTTGTCGTCCTATTTCTTATTTATCGCACCTTCTTCTCGTTTCCTTTTCCTTGTTCCACACCACTGTCTGCTCTATCGCCTTGTTCTTCGTTCCCTCCATCTTCTTTGTCTACCGTATCATTCTCTCGTTCGCTCTCATTGCTTGTTTCTTCATTCTCGCCATCTTCTTTGTCCATCGTTTCTTTTTTATTATCTTTTTCTCCTTTGCTCACGCCGCTTGTTCTGGTTCTTCAATCATTGTTGCGCTGTATTTCTAACAATAGAATATAATCTAAAAAATGCACTTTCAAATCTCAATAAATACGTTGGACCTCTTTAAATGCTTACTCGTTTCCGGACACATTCTTGGTCTCCAATCTGCAAAGTATATAGTGAGATTTTACATGATAGCATGCATGAAGTATTACAGCTTTGTAGGTATGAGGACGTTTAAAATTCTATTTTTTGAAAGCGTTGATCTATGCAAATTCTAGTTTATATACTATTCCATTAAAATTAATATAAATTGCTTACGTCCTTAATAAAATTTCCATATGATAGTGCAATGGCCGTCAGCTCTGCCTTGTTAAGCACTTTCTTGAATGCGCTGCTTGTATTTTCACTGCCATCTGAAATATATATTTGCAGCTGTATGTACCACAGAATTTACACAGAACTTTGGTGAAAGCTAAATACTAATATCAGTACAGAATACTGGTGGTGTATACCAATACCAAAGAATGCCAGATTTATCAACAATTTTGAAAAATTCAGTTTTCAGAATAGTAAAATTGATTAATCATGCAGTGTGATCCCTCTGTAGTTTAATAATATTGTCAGGGTCGTTTTACTTCAATATATAAGATGTGTGTGTTCTTCATGTATTTTCAACGAAAATGAAAGCATAATCACCTGATTCATATAATCACCAGATTTGATTTCCTCTCTTGCAGATGGCGAACAGAAAGGAATATCTGATGGCCAAAATGATGGTTTTTCGGCCATTGTCCAAAAGTTTCTGACTCTCGCCACACCCCACTTCATTTGTCCTTTAAATTGAAAAAGGCACAATCAATTAGCCTTTCTCACGCATGTCGCCATTTTTTGGATACTTTTTTACCAATATTGCGAACGTAAGACCACGTAACGCGATGACTTTTTACAATTTTTGGGTGTATATGATGGTAAATTTACTATGTATAATATTTTATATGTATAATATGTACCTGGAATATGCTGTTTTTGGAAGTACCATGCATGTGCCGAACCAATTCCCGGAGCTGCTTGCAGGTCCATATTCCCCTTCTTATTTCGTCCATTGCCTTTGGGTCGACAAGGTCTGAGCGAACTTCTTGGGCCTTAAATACGTCGTCAGTGCTCTCTATAGGGCGAAATTGACGTACAGTCATCGATCACTTCATAAAGGTGGCTCAATACAATATTTTCAGAAATGGAATATGAACGATTTATTTTGCATGCGTCCGATATTTTGGACAGTTATTACTGTTGGAAAACAAACGGGGTTTGAGTTTATAAAGTAACATTTGAAGAGTTCGAATTTTGTAACAAAAGTCCTGTTACTGTCGTTGCCATGGCGATGATGACGTTTCAACATGGCGGATATTTCGTCTTTAAAGTAACTTAACTCGAAAACATGTTCGGTGACCCCTATTTTTTATTTCATAAAATGGTTTCTTATAAAATGTGATTATTCGTGAGTTTAACATTTTTTTGAGTCAACGAATTTTCTTTACTGAGAATCGTGAAATAAATTTAAAATTGTATAAGAAAGCATTTTATGAAGTAAAATGTTTTCGTGTTAATTAATTTTAATTTACTTCAAAGAGGTAATTTTGAAACGCAATATTGAAACGTCATTGTCGCCATAGCAACGTTAGTTACTTGACTTTTGTTACAAAATTCAAGCTCTTCCAATGTTACTTTATAAAACTCAAACACGGTTTGTTTTCTAACAAGTAATAACTGTCCAAAATATCGGACGCAAATCGTTAATTTTCCATTTCTAAAAACACTGTATTGAGCCACCTTAAACATCCTAATAAAGGCCCGTTCACACGATTCGATTTGTCGGATCCGATTCTGCTCCTCGTGCATGTATTATAGTCGCGTACCTGCGACGAAATAGCGACACAAATAATTTGCAAACAACTGTGTAATCTTAATAGACTTTGGTCAGTATAAGTGACTATACATTACATGTATAGTTGCGAAGGGAAGGTTGTTCAACTACCTGAAAAATAAGAAAACAATTCGACGTTTCGAGCAAAGGCCCTTCGTTAGTGACAAAGGGCCTTTGCTCAAAACGTCGAATTGTTTTCTTATTTTTCAGGTAGTTGACCAACATTCCCTTCGCAACTACATATCACGTCGCTACCTACACTGATACCTCCCTCTCAAGATTATACATTACATGCATTATATAGGAGTAGAATCGGATCGTGTGAACGGGCCTTTAACGCTCCTCCCAATTATGCATTCGAATAAAAATAATAAAAAAGCATTACTCGTTGGTTTTGCTGAAGACCCAAAATTTTCTTCAACGTATTTGCAGAATACATCATTGGCATGAGTTGTCAGAATTTCTTCTCGCAAGCCTGTTGTTCCTATATCGTAAAGAATGAATACGTAATATTCACCCGTTTAACTCGAATAAACACTGTCTCAAAATGAGGGTCGAATCGAAAACGTGTCGAAAGAGGCAGAGTAAACTTCGTCTATATATTAAATAATCAGTTCTGAGTGTATTCAAATAACCTGCTGCTCTGACAGTTCCATGTCCATCTAGGTAAAGAAGTACCATTGGGCCAATACCGTCATTGGATGAAGCCTCATCAATCTAAAAAATCATGTTTTTTTCTAGATTTCTTATGCTCACACAATGCCAGTAAACCTAAAAATGATGATAAAACTATTAATTTTCCCATATATCTTACCAGTCGCTGTCAAGAATACAAACACAGTTTTAATCTTTGATATTGTAAAATATGTTGCAGGTGCGTATGGGAAGCTAGCTTTAACAACTCCTGTAAGGGGACCAACTCTTCCACGCGAGGCGCCACAATTAATGGTCGGACCTTTTCTGAACCTTATCGTTGTGGACACTTCCAAATTATGCGGGGAACTGTGGTAACAATGTTAGTTTATCCAGGCGTTCTGTTGGTGCTGGTGGAGCAAGAGAACGCGCGAGGAGAGAATGGGAGGGAGGAGACAAAGTGGGAAAGCCCTAAATGAACGCCTGGCAGTGGTGCACGCTTCAAAGTAGCCTCATTCAGAGGCCTCTCCGTACGGGTCACCTGTGTCACGCTAAAAAATAATCCGTTGAGAGAAATAATTCCGAAAGTTTTTATCAGACACAGGCCACAGAGATGCCTGTGGAAGAGGCGAACTTCAGGGGCATTATCGGAACTTATGTATCCAAAACCTCCGGTTAAATTCCCATTGGTTTATATGCGTATATAAGCATCAATACTCTGCGAAAGCTGTAAACAGTAAAGATTGAAAAAAACCGCACGTTGGTATACTATAGAGTATAGGCGTTTCGAAATTATTCAGCTCGGAACCGCAAAAAATCAGTTACCAAATTGCTCGATGGTTACAGTTGTTGATTGGTTATTTAAGGTGGTGTTAATTTCACGTTGCAATAATATTTACATATAAACATACAAGCATGTTGTCCCTATAATGCCCCTAAACAGGCAACGCTTTCCCACCTCAGTTTTTCTCCCATTGATGCGATATGCGGGCCAAATTTCATATGAATACCTCAAAAACTGATGTAACCTATAAACTGCGAAAAACCTATCTTATCCAAGCCTAATGTCTTACCCGTTTGATTATACGACTCTTTTTTCTGTAATCGTTGAATGCCTCACTTTTGCTGTCCACTATCTTCTTCTAATTATACATAAACAACATTTTTTCAAATATAAAATGAAAGTGGTGTATTTTTTTAACGTATTATACGTTTATGCGAACTTGAGCAAGCATTTATAATTCATCACGCTATGGCTATGCTGTGCGTCTTCAGTATAAAAATATAAGTCCCCAGCGCATAGTAGAGAGAGGGTCCTGAAGGGGTAAAATGGGAACTGGGATTGATCTATTTTTAGACTGGGAAAATGGGATTTGGGTTGCTGGGACTGGGATTTGGCCACTGGGAATGGGAAATGAAGTTCTCAAAAATGGGAATGGGATTGAGGTAATGCGAGTTGATTCCCAATTTTTCTACCTTTAAAATATTTTAAAATACAATTTTGATCCGTTCTTGGTGTCTTTGGTCATGATTTTTGTTGTTAACTATATTATTCACAGCACTACCTGCGAACAGGCATACTCTGGCGCCCGGAATTCTGGGTTTTCTGATTATGCGTCTCTCACAATGCTGCAAATGCCATTTCCGGGATTCAAATTTAAAAATATTCCGTGCCTTCGGCACGAGCCCCCTCCCCAATATTTCATAAAGTGTGCCCACTTGCACACACGATGGCTTAAAAGTCTTCAAACTGTTTATTGGACCGATAAATAAAGGGTTTTTTATTGACTGGGATTTCAATAACTCGGACTGGGATTTCTAATAAAAATCCAACTGGGACTGGGATTTTGCCAAAATTTCAGGTGGGAAATGGGATTGGGACCCCCCCCCCCCTGCAGGACCCTCGTATAACACTTTTGGAGTTAATTTAACTCCTTGAAATTTACAGTGTAGCATACTGATACTTGTGCATTTTGACACCGCCTAATTTATCTTTCAAGCCAGCTTGGAGCATTGGTTTAATGACCAAAAGCCAACAGCTCGGTAGTTGAGTTCAAGTTTAATTTCATTAATGTGTAGGGTAAGGTTTGGTTTGCATGACCTTGCATATTATTATTATTAATATTTATTAATTTTATTATTATTAAATAAATTTTATTACATACAAATTATATATTGAATTTATTAGTCTCATGAGGAATTTTGTTATTTGGTCTCATGAGGAACTATTATTATAATTGGGTGAATCCAATAAAGTAATATTAAAAATACCTTTTAACTCGATTTCAACATTGTGTTTGCTATATTACTATAAAATACCTACCTTTAAACACAAATAATGTTAAACCATACAAGAGTAACCAGCGATAAAGTAGCCACGACATTCTGCTGCTGATTGTGGGAACTGATGCAGTGAAAGCGTTAGCCAGCTATATGTTTAAACCACGAGTTCGTTGTCTTTGTAGTTCCGCACTGTACTTCCTGGGAAAACACGATAATATGTTAATAAAACTGACTTTATACAAAGAACAATGTTGATCACCAAAAGCAGTACTTGGAAATAAAAGTGGATTCAATTCTATATACACAGTTCATTCTTTGTCGGTTTGGATGGCGACCAATATAATTGATTTGTTCGGTGACAACACCACGTTTATCGCTTTCGAAAAAGCTTTCGATCTATAAGCAAGAAAGTTCACCATGCATGCAGCAACAAAGTTTTCAGCGCAAGCTTCCTTTTTTGTAAAATGTTTACCCACGAAATTTTGTTGATAAGTTGCGAGTCGAACCATCTTTAAATTTACCAAGACTTATATTAAATAAATGACCCGTGTGTTAAAAGATTTTTATTCAACTGTTAAAATTTGAATCCAAAATGAGAATAATTTCAATACTGAAACAATAGTTTTGCACTCAATTCCCAATGGTGGTGCAATTCCGATAGGGTGTATTTGCAATTCCGACATGGTGTATTTGCCAATGTACAATGCCAATATGTATTTGCTAATTGTAAGAATTTTAATATAAACAAGACGCTCTACAGGGTGCATTAAAAAAAGGAGACCTTTAGAAATCAAGTATATTGTTAAAATTTGAATGGCTTTTCAATTGCACATATGCTGAACCGTAGGCGTGAATTATTGATGGTACATATATTAGAAAAAGTAGACCTTTCGAAATTGAAATAACGTTTAAACAAAAGATTGTCTGCTCCTGGGAACAATCTGCCATGCATACTGTACGTAGATCGCATGTTACGCACTCGTGGGCTTAGCAAAGTGCTTCAGGATTCAAATTATAACAATGGTTGATTTCTAAAGGTCTCCTTTTTCCAATACATGTATACTGTATGCACTCATCAATATTTCACGCACCACGGTTCAGCATATGTGCAATTGAAAAGGCATTCAAATTTTAAAAATATGCTTGATTTCTCATAAAGGTCTCCTTTTTTTATACACCCTGTATTGAGCATCTTGTTTATATTAAGTTCATAGTTATATATTTTTTAATTCAACTTCTTTATTAAAGAATAATAATCATTAATTAGAAATATAATTAATTTTGTGAGCTAAACTATCCAGACAAGTTATTAATTATTATGACTTTGTAGCCAGATGGGTATGATTTTGCTTTGGCTGTTCAGCATTTTGATCCATTGCGTATATATTGAACATGCATGTGTAATGGAAATAATCAAATAAAGTTATTTCTGCAATAGTCCTTGCACTCGAAACCTTATTTGTATTTTTCTTGTTCATGTCATGCTTGAGCATCAGCCTAAATGAGCAAATTCCATTGGATTTGTGAGGGCACTTGAAGTAGATTGGGTCATTACAGAAAAGATCCAGACTCCGACAGACACTACAAAAAAAGTTACAGCTGTGCAGAGGAGGGGGTGCACTAGTAAAATGTACCCCAGAATATCTGAACAGAGGGAGGGGGAAGTGATACAAATCTTAAAACTGAAGTTTAATATAGACTTGAAATTATTAAGCAAATGAGTGCCAGCACTCTCCCCTTGGCAAGAACCGTATTGTGGAATATTCAATACACCCAAACCCGTCTCATGTTACACGATTTTCTTAGAATATTGGAAAGGTCACAACGGGATTTAAAATACACCATGCTCATTATCACCATAACGAAATCTTATTCTATATAAATAAATGTAACACTGGATTCGAAGCTTGGTTAGTGAATTGCGAATGCTCAAACCTAGAATGTAATTTGCGCACACATTTGGAGCATAACACACTTCAGATGATAATACAATAACACCAGTACTTACCGTGAACCACCAACAACGATATGCCATACATGATTAACATCTATAGTGAATTAAACACGACATTCTGCCGTTGCCGTTGAGTTAGTACACTGAAATGAATCGTGAGTGCATGTCTCGCAATTTTAGCCTTCGCTTTCTTTCGGAAAAGTGAAAGTTTAAATCACGAGGTCTTGGCCATCGCACTTTCACATTTTTGTACCTACACAAAAAAATATATTTGTTAATTAAACTTGATTTTATCCCAAGATTAGGTAATAATAGTACATATATGGAGTTTATGTATAGACGGTTTACTTTTTAATATCAATAAAACTTAGGTTTTCAACTGTCAAATAATACCTTTCTTGCATCAATGCAAACAAAGATGGCTTAACACGATACGATTAAAATCACTGTTTGAAATCACATTTTCCCATCTTTGTGCATAAAATGTTCTTCGAATTCTTGAACATTTGCCCATGCAGGCTAAGGTTGGCCATCGTACAAAGAAACACACCATCCAGCGAAGATCGACGTTGGTGGGAATTTCCTGCCATCGGCTCCCATGCAACAACCAGTCAGGTACGGCCATGCCAGACAATTGTAGGCTACTTTCTGGGAACTCGCAGGGATAACATCTAATTTTGTTTATTAAATGAACCTGTCCTACTTCCAGCCAGGTAAAAATAAAGAATAAATTGTACAGGTTTTCAAACATCTGATCAGTACAGCCTCAGTAGAAAATCTAGCTTTTATCATGCACCACGTTATTGGGCACTCCTATAGCCACTCAAGGTCGATTTAAATGTGCAGTGGCGATATTATTTTACTCTTGGACTAAACAATTCCTTTCAGACACGGAAGTGTCCTGAGACATGAGGACAGTCAGAAGGATTTTTACTAGACCTCGGTCTGATGGGGTAGCTTTTTGCCATAACTTTGGGTGAGTATATTTACCATGCATGCAAACGTGTTATAACCATGCAATTATAAGACAAGTAGATGCTTTCAGCCATCCGCCCAACCCATGCAGTTGGGAAGCCAGGAGGATACCGCCATGAGACTTCTGAGAGATCTACTATACCTGCATGGTTTGTAGGTTATCAAAAAGATAATAAAATAATTATTAATTTATGTTATAATTTTAATTATTACTAGTTTCGACATGCAATTGCGAAGGACCTGACCAGGGCATTTTTTAACTATATAACTGGGGGGGCCAAAGCCCCCCCAGCCCCCATGGTGGCCCCCCCACTCAACCATTTTGGCCCCCCCAGTCAAAGTCCCTTTTCTCTAAAATATAAGCAAAACATGGAATTTAGAAGGGAGGTTTGATATTCTAGTAAACTTTTATGTTTAATAAATACCTTATTAGATTCTAAACATTTCCCAGGCAGTGCATTGCATTTCCCAGACCCTATAGAGTTTGAGTTGTTGGACAAGTTAGTGACCGCAGGGGGCAACAGGCCCTCAACCAAGTGTTTTATAAGGGGGGGGATAATTTTGGCCCCCACCAAAAAAAAACAATTTGATTTCGAAACTAGAAGTATTTGAAATCATATATACATATAATCAAATATCTGTAATCGATATTTTGATAACATTTCTCGTAATAATCCATCCTGACTTGCGGATATCATAGAGTCGACTCACAAATCATAATGAACGAATTAATGAAAGGGCCAAACAAAAGACGTATAGAAGACTTTGAAAATGCCATTTCCGATGATTTAGAGACGCAAAATTTTCAAAATTTTTCCGCTCTGTGCCAACCATGGTGGCGCTTCGTGGGAGTCGGGAACTCTAAGTTTATCAAGCTGGCTGGCTCCCTAAGTGACGGCCAAGTTGTGGTATCTACATAAACATACTATGCAAGTACTTAACTGAAGGTTCAGTCTATCTACAGCATAGTGTAATGCTGTATATTCAAAAATCTGTTTCAGAAAATGCAGGGAAATGCAGTCATAGGGGTAGAAAAACACAAAAATTTTCTGGAGGAGAAAACCCCAGACCCTCTCCAGGGCCGTAGCAACCAAGGAGGGGGGGGGGAGGCTGGGGGGCTGCAGCCCCCCAATAATTTGCTAATAATCATTCATTTTTCAAAATCATGCAGACCTTTATTATTTAATCCATGACAAACTGCAAAGAATGAAGATATTACCCATACTTTTCTAAATTTCCGCATACTAAAAACGCTGTTTTCTGACAATCAGAAATCTGTCAAATCTTCCCCCAAAGTCCAGGAAATGGCATTTCAGAGACTCTAAATTTAAAAATTTCCTCGGGCCTTCGGCCCTCGCTTTCGCCCCCCAAAACTAAAAGAGCTTCCTACGGCCCTGCCCCCCCCCCCCCCTACTATTAAATGCGATACGACACCAAACTTTTTGTAACCAACAAACGATCTATCATTGCTCCACACTCGGTATAGTATGGTCCCTTTTTGTAGATGGCCCCCCCACTGACGAATTCTTAAAAAATGCCCTGGACCTGACATCCAAATATTATCATATGTACATTGCTTCTTTATTTTAGTCCCTTTGAGTCCGCTTTTAAGACGGTAAATCTATAGTATATTACTCGTATTGTTTATGTATTGACAGATCTATGACCAGAATAAAGTTTTTAAAACTATTAAAATACGTATGACAAGTTTTCGCTTTAAGCGTATACAACTAAGTTAGTTTCTTCTCGTGAAATTTATTATTATGAATATATATACTGGGATATAGTTGGTTACTCGAAATTAGCGTAGTCACTGAAGCCATCCAGGTACGCCATAATGGCAGTGTAACAGAACTTGTATTGTTCCTAAAGAAGAAAACAATTTAATTTTTGTTATAATTCAAGGCCCAGTTGTTCGAAAGCCGATTTACTTATACCCCTATAGACTAACGAGAAGTCCAAGGCTTGTTTATAAACATAAAGATATTTTTCCAAAATTCTTGTCTGGATCAATACAGTTGACTGAAATAAACAGAAGTGCGGATGTACCCATGCATATACCCAAACAGATGCATGGTTAAATTTTAACAAAGGGTTGTATATATAAGTGTTATATAAGCGTTAATCTACCTTTGAACAACCGGCCCCATATGATTGAGGGAGATTTAGCTCGGGATTCTTGCTCATGGGAAACATTTGCTTCTATATGTTCAACATTGGTAACAGTTGGTCATCAGTCATTTTCCGAGCAAAAAGCAAATATATAAGGCCGTCTACCGATTGCTCTCCGCGCATTAATTTGAATAATTTCTTATAAATAATTTCTCCCTCAATCCATTCTTTCAAAACCAAAAATGCGACTCTCATACTATAATCTTGTTAGTTATTAATACAAAATAAGGTTAAGTCCAGTTATATTTTCGTCAGATTTGTACTTACGGCATTTTCGACAAACTGTGGTCGTGTTCCTCTGATCATTTTTATGGCTTGGAAAACATCCATTGCTTGTTCAATTTTCATTCGTTCAAGAAGGTTTGAAATTGCAATGTATGTTCCTGTTCGTCCTGCTCCATCGCTGAAATATATAAATATATAATTCTATCCTATGCAAATTGATCTGAAAAATATCAAATTGAGCTATTGCTTAAATGCACATGCAGACATTATGATGTAGAAAAGGAAAAATAATTGCCAATTCTTTCTTTGGATTTCCAAAAGCTTCTCAAACAAAAGAAACTTTTCATTTGCCTTATATTTTAAGGACGATATAAAATTTGATTTGTGTTATAATACGGGGATTCTAGGATATTTAGAGCATTATTATCATTTGGCAGAGAATTGTCAACTGGCAGTTGTCGCAGTAAGAAAAAATACTGTCAGTTAACAATTTCGCAGAATATCAAGAACTATCAAGCCAAAAGTTGTGTTGTCAACCGAAGCTGAAAACCGAGGTGCTCCCACAGCACTGGAAAAAAATTTTGAAAATCCATAGAAGGTCATAGAATGGAAATTGTATGGACCTTTACTGGAAATAGAATGGATTTTGACTATCCATAATAATTGTATATTTCCATGCTATGGATATAGTGTCGAAATAGTATGGACATACTACTACGGAGTTATAGTAGTGCAATTGCAAATATCATAGTATGGATTTCACTTTTTTTCCCGGCCAGTGCAGGTTACTCGCTCCCACCGACCGGTTTAGGGACTGTCATAAAGTAACTGCTAGGGTGGGCTGGAGGTAAATCACAAATTTTGCCAATGAGTTTGGTGACCCATCTTAGAATGTACATAAAAATTACAAAGCCCATCTAATCTTACCAAATTTATTTCATGACCAAAACCCACCCACCCACCCAATCTAAATTGGGAAAATACAATTTTATAATAAAAAAAAACTTGCAGGTATGAACATTGTAAACATACACCGGCACTGTATTGACATACATAATTCCACCAAGCTTGACCAACACATTCATCACCAATTACGATACTCGGGGCTGCTCTCCAGTTGGTTGTATTCACTTCTTGTTGTTGTATAAAACAAAGTACTGGCTTCCATAGCATCATTTCCATTTGATATTTTGGATAGTTTTGTTTACTTTTATTATTAATATCTTTATATAATATATCATTAACATGGGTTTTTGTTTGGTGGCCCAACCGTGGACATACAAAAAAATTGGCGCCCATTGAAACTGCACAAATATTTTCCATGGCCCATCCCAAATCACTCCAGCCCACCCTATATAGCAGTTACTTTATGACCGGTCCCTTAGAAAAAGAATACTTACAGACTACAGTATAACATATGCAGAAGAAAAATACACAAAACTCTTAACACAACAGGGAGTACTGCTGAAACGTTTTTTTAGTAGCTAGTATAATTGTTTAATTTGTGAATTTGTTTACTAATTCTTTGCCGCTATACATGAAAAACAAAACACTTAATGTCGCTGTTGTATATCACGAAATACTTTATTTTGTTTTTGCTTGATTCTCAAATTTTTCCTTCAACTTCGTCTCGTTAAACATTGGTACTCTCCAGAGCAGACATAATAAGTGCACAATATGTAGGCCTAATACTGTATTAAATAATTTAATAATGTACCTGCATACAACGATGATTGGCCCTAGACCATAATTCTTTATTGAATTCTCAACCAATGACGTCAGCGTGATGATTGCATCTGCGTCGGGCGGAATTTGGTGGTCCGGCCATTTCGTGTAATGGAAAATATTAACAACTTGACCACCAGACAAATCCTAAATTTAAATTTGCTAGTTTTAGAGTATTGTTGAGGATTTTGTTGTGGTTAGAGTTGGTGTTAGGGTCATGCAGGGTTAATATTATCTGCAAAATATTCTCTTTAAATAAAACTAACATGACCTATATATACTGTATATATATATATATAT